GATTCTGGCTCCTCCTTGTTTGAGAGAGATAAATGCATCCTGGGACAGGTCCAGAAACATGCTATTAGAAAGATGCTGGAAGTAGACAGCCTAACTTATGAGAGGAGAGTAAAAGACCTTGGCTTGTTCAGCCAAACAAAACAAAGGCTAAGAGGGGGATACAATGGCTCTCTATAGATACAACAGCAGGGAAAAATACTGAGAGAGAACAGCTACCAAAGCTGAACTGGCACAAGAACACAGGGGTATAAACTGGCCATGCATAAATTTAAACTGAGTGCAAAATGTAGTCGACTGAGGCTATGTAATTGGGGTGAGAAATCTAGCAGACTTTTAAGATGAAACTTAAGACTACATGATGGGGTTAGCTAAAACAACAAGGAATCAGACTCAGTGTTCAAGTCCTTCCTGATCCTCTATAAATTGTGACTATCACAATCACCTGGATTGGAAGAACCATTCTATTATTTTAAAAGTTTTCACTGTATCTTCAGTGCAGTAGCTGTATCTTTAAAGAGAGACTGATATTTGCATACAAAAGATTTTTGAAAATGCATACTTGAATACTGTTATTTCAAAATTTAATTTTTTTAACAAAAGAATTTGTAGGGTCAAAATTGTGGTTTGGAGTGTTAGCAGAATTTGCAGGTACCACTAGGTATTACCGGAAAGGGATCTCAACAGGGGTGCCCAGCAATATAGAACGATTGAGACAAACTGAAGATGCGAGACACCCGCCGTATGACCATCCTGCAGCACGCAAATGTCTGAAGTCACCCAGGAGTTTCCTCACCAGCACCAAACCTCTCAATGCCACACCCAAGGAGTCACAACTACAGATGCGGAATGAGAGACTGAAGAAAATACCTGACAGCAGAATAAAAAGACATTCCAGCAGCTGAGTTCTTACCAGCAGGGGCTGGCAAACCATGACAAAGGCAGCGATGTGTCAACCGCCTACAAACCAAGTTGGATGCTTCAGGGAATTAATGAAGTGGGGCTATACCATTGGTTCAGCCACCTGTGACTGCAGAGCCTGCTGCTTGAAGGCACATGTACAAAGAAAGACATTGCAAAGCACAATAAATGAGCACAAGCACAAGTTACAAAATGGTCAAATGTGGTGTAGAGATGCAAGAAGAACAAGGAGAATGCTGTAAAGGTAGTAAGAATCTTTCTAGTGTCAGAATAACTGATAAAGAAATCAAAAGGAGTAAGTGTCAAAATATCCAGATAGATGATTCTATAAAACTGGTGACATCCACATACAACGTTAAGAAAGCTATTAATTCACATTTAGATGCCTGAGAGATCCAAGTTCTACATTTCAAAAATGTTAAATTAACCAAAACAATTAAGAGAAAGCTGAATTTACCAAACACCTAGGAGTTATCCTGCTTTTCTCATGCATGCAAATGCCAAACTTAATTGACTGTCTCTTAAACCACATCATAGGCATGAGTGCACTGACAAACATCAATAAAAGTCAGACACATCAACCCTATAGTTAGACATACTGAAACATTAGTAAGATTATCTAGAAAACCGATAACTGTGAGCACGAGTGTGAGCGAGAGTACGTATACACACACTTCCTCTCATGAATATTCAGCTGAAATAGTATACTGAATTAATGCAGTTTTCTTCTAAAAATGACAGCTGCACAATTGCTATGAAGAAACACTTAACATTGTTAATATCTGTTTACGTTATGGTTCCAGCTGAAATTGAAGTCCTTCTGTGCTAGGTTCTGCATAAATACACAGAAAGAAGGCCCATCACAAAGGTTTTATCATTCAAGTAGACAAGACAGACAAGCGGAAGGAAAGAGGTACAAAAAAGTGTAGGAAAAGGACCTGAAGTCATGCAGTAAGTCAACAGCAGAAGCAGGAATGGACCCAAGAGACTTCTGAGTGCTAACCAAGGACTCTCTGTCCATTTGCCTATGCTGCTACTCCATGCTAGGTTAATGTAACAATTTATCAAAGAGAGAGGTTCTTGAAAACAACAACAGCACTCCTGATACATGAATTGGTTGCTGAGGTCCTGAGAGACCATGATCTGACAGGGCGGGGAATCCACAATGAATGGTCACTCCTTAAGGTCCTGATCCTAAAAGCACAGGGGAAGTCCAATCCAGATTATAGGAAAGGTAGCAAAAGGGCTGGGGACCCCCTTGGCTCAAGACGGAACTCACGCACCTCCTGAATCTGAAAAGAGAAGCTTATAAGGGATGGAAGTCGGGAACTACCACTAAAGAGGATTATGCAGCACTGGCCCGCAACTATAGGGAGTGGACCAGAAAAGCCAATGCTGAAACCAAACTCAAACTGGCTATGGGAATCAAAAGACAATAAAAAGACAACAAAAGCAGGTATCAAATTTACATGCAAATAGCTAAATGCCTTAATGAATGTGTAGATGCACTAAGGCACATTAATACTATGTCAACTGACTTTGGATTAACTTTAGTCCCAAATCGGTCTGTGCACTGCATAATGTGCCTAAATTGCCTTACTGTGCATTAGGCAAATGTGCATTAAGTTTAGGCATGCATAAAAGCATGTGTAGGCATGCCCACTGTCTGCTAGTAATGTACACGGAGTGAAGGCGCCAGTCAGTAAAGTGAAAGCGTCTCAGCACATCTTTTAAGAAGTTAAATACAATGCCTATGCCCCTCCACCAAATCAGTAGTGAAGGACGGGGACACCAGGAAATGCCTGCAAAAAACAAAATTGGCACTTCATGTTGTGACCAAGCTGCAAAATTGCTTTGTCTCACTGCAACTTAAGTAGACCTCTAAAGTGCCATGGTTCCACACTTTGGATCTGGCTCACAAACCAGCCCTGCACTTCAAGTGTGAATTAGTTTGGCACAAGTGGCTACAATAACACTCCAATCCAAGTATTTATACTAAATTCACATTTTCAAGGTTTTCTTTGTACCTGTGAGAGCTATGGACCACATTACAATGATTCTTATGCCATTCTGTGACTCTGGCAACATATACCCATGGTTCCTAGGCCTTACCTCAGCTTTGTCCAGGATGCATCTGAGCCCCAGTAAGGGGAACCAAGTCTGACATACTGATCAAAGCATGCATGGTCACACATTGAACATCTGCATAATCTACTGCGGGTAGGGTGTTTGTGGGTATTGGAATCTCAGCTTGGCAGAACTTGGCTTATGGGGATAGCCCCATTTTTTTTTATTCCCCAATTCAAATCCTGCCCTAACTTTACTCAGAGCAAGTTTAAACAGTGCTGCTTAAACATATAGCACTTCTAGAACTTCAAACATCAATTCAGTGACTACAACAGTAGGGAAATCTTACAACATTTTCCGGATGCAAACAGGACATTAAGACAAGGATTCCAACAGCAATCTCCTACACCTCATTACCAGCTCATTGGAGGCAGTATTAGAGGCCTCATCACCTACAGGTGTGTTTAATTCGTTATTAAAATTCACTGCAATTTAATTTCTTTCTAGCAGGATTCAACCTGCCCAGCATGGAGAGAAACTGTATAATAATCAGATTCATAAAACATGTGCAAGTACAAACTGGTTGACCTGGAACCGACTCCAACCACTCTTATTAAACCCAATGGTGTTCACAGGGTTTAGACCCCTCCTCACCCCAAAAAATCCTACAGAAGACTCTTCCCAGAAACAGAGTACAAAAATACTATATACCCAAATATACTACTAGGATACTGAAACACAAGAATCCACTATCAAGGGGCAGGCAATTAGAGTCCAATACAACTGGCTGACAATTTAATAATTGTGGTTTTTTACTTCATTACCTGTATAGGCTGTTGTAATACTAAGAAGTAGAATCTCTTTGGTGAGGCAAAGCTTCATAGATCTCTCTGGAAAAAAAGTAGAAAATCGCTAACAATATTAAAGATAAGATTGTTTTTAGACATTATTTTCTAATCTTCATTTTACAAAGTTTTTATTTTAAAAGACTGAATACATTCTGGATTTAAAATTCCTAAATGTTTGCTAGGCTAAAAGCACTAATGAGTGGCACACATTTATTAATTGATTTTTTTTACATGTTGACCTTTAGTTTAAAAGCAACTTTTACTTATTCATGTTGTTTCTTCAATAAGAAACATTTTTACTTCCCTGAAATGGTTATTCCTTTTTAACTTTCACTCCTACTAATGGCCCCTCTCTCCAAGCTTGTCTTTTTGTGTTACAATTACAAGTGTGTGTGTGTGGGGGGGGGGGGGGGGGGGGGGGGGGGAGAAATCACAGATTTGCCTATCACAAATAATAAGCAATAAAGGAAAGAAAAAAAAGGAGGAGGAAAGAGGGAGGTACAGAAGAGGAAAAGATAAATATGCAAGAGCAACAATCTACTACAATTACTTTAGAATTCAGTTGCCAAATTGACTAACACGATTCCCTCCATGGATGCTACTTTGCATCATTTCATTACACCAGGTTTCAACTTTTGGATCACCGAGTTTGTCTACATGAAGATGTCACTGTGAAGTAAATTAATGTATAACACACTAACAACTCTATGCTACATCTCCATACAGAAATCCTTTATTTTTTTTAAAGAAAGGCATAACCAAAGAGGGCTCTATTTTTGTAAGCACTATACTAGTAAGTAGTAATAAGATAGGGATTTAGCTAGACTATAAATGCTATGTAAAATGTAGTGAAAGCGGTATAAATTACCTCATGCCTTCTGCAAAGGAAAAGCATGCACATAGGCAGTTATTACAGAAGAGTTAACATGCAGCAAATTCACTCCCAAGCATACCTTGTACTGACTTGTTCCTCTAGTTATACCTTTAGGGAGAACTAGAATTTGTCTACATGATAACGTAACGGTGGAGTAAGGCACGGTGTGAATTTACAGCACTAGCTGCTATGTTCTAACTCAGCATGTGGACCTCTTCAAGCACAGTAAGTGTGAAAATTCTTACTGCACTTTCTTTGCTCTCTCTCTTGAGTCCTGAGAAATTCAAGCTTTCATATCACATACTCTTTGCCTCAGGTCATGATACTTCAAAGGAGACAAACACTACAGATGCTCAGACTGATCTAGGACATGAAGATACTGGGTCTTACTATCGTATTAGTAACCAACAGGGAAACTGCGAGGGTTGTTTAGGAGAATGATAAGTAAAGAAACTGAAGCTTCCCAAGGCTTGTGTGCAGTAGAGACAACAAGGGTTGGAAAAGACGCAGTTATACCAGTAAAACTGCCCTTTAATTGATGTGGCAGTTTTTGCTCTTGGAAGGCTGGGATAGAATTTGATTTTACTGTGGCAACTAGCAGAGCTACAATCCTCCATGACGCACGTTTACTATTACGCCAATAGTGTTCCTAGTAAAGATATAGCCAAGACAATATTAAAATTGCGTAGAGGGAGAAAAGGCTGCAGGTCTGTTGCCTTGCATTCTCAAAGTTTCATCCTTTTTTGAACTGCTAATTAAAATGATTTGCAAGTGTGCATGTATATGAACAGAATCATTAATCTGTTTTAATATTTTCAGAAGTGGTTCTGAAGTGAAATAATACTTACTAAATGCATCCACTGCTCTCGTCATTTTGCTTTGGGAAGACCTGGATAAATGCATTTTAAAATCAGAAAGATAAGCCAGAGATAAACCTGCCTCAGCATTGAAGCTAATTCTATTTTCAGTTTTTGTATATTTTCTTACCGGTTATTATTAGCTAGAATGCATTAATGTCTAACAATTTTTTTTTGTGAACCTAAACCATTAGCTATAAGGTATTTGCTTACTTACATGCATATTATTTGGAAAAGTAACCTACTTGTCTCTGGGATTTTTTTTATTTATTTATTTTTTTACTGGATTTGATTTCCTCGCTATATTTGCTTTGCTCTTTCTTATGTCTATTATTAACAGCATATCTGTATCTGAAAATATCATTTCACAACTACTTTAGTGTTTCCATTTACCCATGCATTTATAATATATATGACATCTAAGTAATTTGCTAATGATCAGCAGCTAAATAATCAATGAGAGCTTAAGACAGGGGTGTGAAACTCACCCTGGGCCCCAGACCAGATCCAAAGTGCAAAGGCTCCTCCCAGGCCAGATCTGGGGGTGGATACCAGCAACTGCTGTGTCTCCACTGCCAGGGAACAGCAGAGCAATATTTGGGCAGCAGCACAGCTGTGTTCACATGGCAACATGGATCCAAAGGCATGCAGCCACACCAGGCTGTGTTAGGGCAATGTGGGTCTGGAGTGCTACCATCCACAGCCATGTCCATCAGAGTCCAGGGTCCCCAAATTCTGCAGCAGGCTGTGCCCCGCAACTTCCAGTAGCCTGCTGGACTACTAGCAGTCTGGATGGAATGGTTCTGGAGTCTGAATCCAGCCTGCAGGTCATATGTTTGACATCCCTGGCTTAAGAGATCTTTATAGGATAAGAAATTGGTCCGGTATGTGAAACAGCCCTTGCTATTGCAATAGCATGAAATTTTTTTAAACTATTGGACAGATAATCTGTCTACACTGTAGTTGATTTTTTTATGGCTGATTGTGTGGGTGATTTTTCCAAATCCTACCTAAAAAGAAGCCACTAAAGTAATAAAAATTTGCTGCCCTGCCTCTAGCAACAAACTAAAATTACAAACTAGCTCCCAACCCCAGTTAGCTACAAATAAACAATCACTCTGTTGTCCTCTTTAATTCAGGGAAGAGGTGTGGATAAACATGTTAACTTGACCACCAGATACAAATTCTGCTAGGAACAAGCCGACTTAAAAAAAATTCTCTGCGCTGGTAAGGCAGTCAGTCCTCTCTTGCAGAATAATTATTGCAGCCACAGAAGTTGATTAAATGTGTTCTTACAAAGGACAAAGTAAACATGCCACTTCAACCCATTTTCAAATCTACTGCATCTCCTGCATTGCTTCTATTCCCCAATCTCTTCCATGATCGGAGAGCAACAGCTAAGGTTTGGAGTCACCGGCCACATCTACACAAGACTCTGACTGTGCAGTAGCATCACATCATGCAGTAATATCACATCCTCCCACTCCAGTGCTACTGCGTAGTAGTCATGGGCTACTGTGCAGTCAGCATCATAAAAAGCTGTTCCTCAGTGTGACTGAGCAGTAACTCCGGTTACTGTGCAGTCATTTAGTCCTTATTTATACAAGAACTAAACGGCTGCACAATAACAACTGCTCAGTCAGCTTCTCGTGTAGACATGGCCACTGAACCTAACACAGCTGGTCTGAGGCAGCAAAAAAAATAAAAATAAAAAAAATAAAAAAAAAAGACTATCGTGGACAAATATATGCTTAACAATGGAAGGAGGAGATAAGTGACTTCTTCTAATACTCTTCAATGGAAAAACACAACTTGTGCCCTACCCTACTCTCAAGGCAATTGCCTGTAAAGAAACAAAGTGATGTGATCCTCACTTCTTATGAGATGGTAGGGACTCTTAAAAACATCCTTAAGGCTTAATACCGTGTTCAAAACTTACATGCTTTGGGGTCAGAGGGATAAGCGAGCAAGAAGCTTTCCACAAAAGATTCGGAACACAAGTCTGGCTGAATGGTAGTGTCTTACTGTTTTAAGCACTTACAAGGCATCCCCAAGATTTTCATTAGTGGAATCTTCCTCCCCATGAGTATTTGACTCCTCAGGTTTCCTAATCAGAAAAAACAGAACAGTGCCCACGAGACTGATAACAGTTAGAGCGATGAAGACAGTTCTGCGGTCACCCTCTGTCGAAAAACAAAAAGATATCACAACTATGTTTGTCCTAACAAGTTTAATAAACTATTTCTACCTAGCTATGACTTTCCCCATGTTAAAACACAGAACACTTTAAGACAAGATGCATGTAATGCCTAGCATATAATTTGGTGCTGCCTAATTTACTGTGCATGTGGGACAAAATGTCCAAATGGCTAACAAATGCCTGTTTTAGTGCTGTTATACATACAGAATGTTGGGCATGTCAGAGAATGTCACTTCCACTTTTATTTTTATTAACTCCTGTTGTAGTCACTCTATAGTGAAGGGGAAGTGCAGATATTGTAGCACTATTCAGTACTGCAAGCAAAACATGCTATTTCAAACTCAGAAATATGGATTGGAGACTACATCCCATTCTACCAGTGCTGTTCAGACTTCTAAAACGTCTTCTTTTCAAGACCCCGGGATACTATTGTTACACCATATGACACCATAAACAGATGTAAAATCTAAAGGCTTTCAGCTGCTGAAATCTTACAGTTTGTCAAATGATACAGTGCATATCTGGAGGGAATCATAGGATTGAAAGGCTCCTCATGGGTTGCCTAGTCCAACCTGTTAGCCAGTGTCAGATTCTTAACTAACAATTTATTCCATTGTCCTACTGTTTGGAAGTTTTTTTTCCTGAAATGTAATCTACATTTGTTTTACTGTAGTTGAAAACATTGTTTTCTGCCCTGCCTCTGAAACAAAGGAGAATAATTGTTTTCCCTCTTCTTTCTGGCAGCCTTTCCAGTATTTTTTAATGCTGCTATCATATTCCACCCTTAATCTCTTCTCTAAACTAAATACATCTAGTTCTATCAACCTTTCTTTACACTCCAACTGCTTTATTAGCTGTCACTCACATTTGGATTATCTCCAGTTTCTCTGTATCCTTCTTAAAATGTCATGCTTAGCACTGGACACTCCAACTGAGGCCTAAGCAGTGCTAAGGAAGGATATCTCCTATGTATTATATGCAGTGCACGTTACTGCATTGCAAAGAATACGTTTTATGCACTTAGGGACCCAAGGGCAGTTATAATACCCATAACTGCATTTACTTTTTTTTTTGTCACAGCATCAGAGAATAGAAGGTGCCTGCTGTTCCATATTCCTTCTGGAGTAGTTATTCTCAACCAGAGTGCCTTGACACACTTTCATGGGTGCTACAAAACGTCAGCACTGTTAGGTGTGTAAACATGATTCATAAGATAAACCCATAGATCTTGAATAGGCATTCACAGTGTTAAAACTGTTCTGACCTATAGTGGTCTTTCTGAATTCTGTGCAACAGAAAAATTGCTCTATTGTTTTTCTGTACTAAAAAAGAGCGAAAACTAAGAGCTGGCATTTTCTAAGGGGTGCCTTGAGTCTTACAAGGGGTGCCTAGAGTCTGAAAAGGCTGAGAACCACTGGCTCTAGAGTAAACAATTTGTTTGGCACAGTGAAGTCGCTGCTGCAGAAGCCCGTCTGCCATTCACCAAGTCCAATCAGGCAGAAAAACTGCTGAGAAGTAGCTAATACTGGTTTGTGATTGAGAAACTGACTAACCTTTGAACTCCCAGAGCTCAATCCTAGAGATATTGCCTATGCACTTGTAATTAGCTTTCTAGGGGCTCAAAGGGGAACAGAAATAAATGCTATAAATTCCTTTAAAAACTGTGAAAGAACCCAAAACAAGAATGTAGGAGTGTAATCTTAAAAAAAATAAATAAATTGTGTTACATATATGTAAACCTACATGTGTAAGCTATTCTTGTAGGATCCTGAATTAAGATCTAGGAAGGAAAGAGAAAGAGGAACCAATTTATAAGTGTGGTGAAATATTGTTCTAATGCCATTAACCTTATAATGAAGTGGAGCAATAGTGTCAATATAGGATCGAGGACTTTTACGCCACTTAAAAATTAAGAAAGTCTTTAATGTGAGTTCCACTCTAGAGTTGTATTCTGGGAAGATTTGCAGGGTTATTTTAATGTAAGATGCATACAACTTCTAGTACTTCAAATATAGTGTTCCCCAGTGCTTTCACCCAAATTTAAGCTTTTACTTTAAAAAAAAAAAAAAAAAAAAAAGGTTAAAGCCTTTCAACGGTTGACTTTTTCTGTACTTTTAACCCACCCTGACGAAAACTTAAAAAAAAAA